AGATAAACCTGTGCAGATATATATATATATATATATATATATATATATATATATATATATATACAAGTTCAACGGTAAAATAGCAAGAAAATAACAATTTAAGCTGGGGAAGGGAGCATGCTTCAGGGCAACAGATAGAGTCAAAATATCAGGAATAATGGTACGTACATCTACAGTTTAACTTCTAACAATAATGGAAAGGTAAAACAACTTTCATATTCAGCTCATCTTATTGCAGGCGTGCAACCCGATCCCATTTCTCAATATCTCGTGGTAGGCGTACCACCCGCTCCCATTTTAATGTCACTCGTGGTAGGCGTACCACCCACTCCCATTTCAATATATCATTCGTGGTAGGCGTACCACTCGCTCCCATTTCAATATCATTCGTGGTAGGCGTACCACTCACTCCCATTTCAGTATATCATTTGTGGTAGGCGTACCACTCGCTCCCATTTCAATATATCATTTGTGGTAGGCGTACCACCCGCTCCCTTTACTTTCAACACCATACACAATACAATCTCGGAAAGGGAACAATCAAATTAATACTCTTTCCCGGCAAGGGAGAGTCAGCTATAACCAATCCTATTCAACTTTTTCCTGGCACAACTAATACCAACATTTAATCACAAAGTTCATAGGATCAAACAAGGGTACACAATTATCAAATTAAGACTCACTGTCATGCTTGACACCGACGCATGGATACTCGTCACCATGCCCATACGTCGTACCCAACACAAACAAGTAGCAATTATGACTCAACTCCTAATCCCTCAAGCCAGGGTTAAACCAAACACTTACCTCGATGCCTTGAATTCCACTCAAACCTCAACTATCGCTTTACCCCGCGATTCCACCTTCAATCCGCTCGAATCTAGTCACAAGTTGCTCAATTACTTTAATAAACACTAAATGAATCAATTTGAATGCATTAAAATGAATTTCCCAAGTTTTTCCCAAAAATTCCAAAATCGCCCCCGGACCCACATGGTCAAAACCCGAAGTTCAGACCAAAACCCGGTTACCCATTCCCCCACGAACTCAAATATATAATCTGTTTTGAAATCGGACCTCAAATTGAGGTCCAAATTCCCAATTCATAGTAAACCTAGGTTCTACCCAAAACCCCCAATTTCTCCCATCAAAATCATTGATTTTTAAGTTGAAAACATGTTAAATGATGTTAATGATTGAAAGAGTTAAGTAAAAATCGACTTACAAATGATTTGGGATGAAACTTGTTCTTGAAAAATCGCCTAAGGAGTTGTATTTAGAAAGTGGGGTGAGAAATGACTTAAAATTCGACTAAGTATGAAATTGCTGGGTCTCTGATGTCACATTTGCGAGCTGACCAAATTATGGGAATTGCGACCTCTGCTTCGCATTTGCGAAGTCAGGCCTTACAGGAGACCTTCGCATTTGCGAACTTGGTCTCGCATTTGCAAAACTTGGAACTTCGCATTTGTGAAGAATATACTCGCATTTGCGATCATAGTCAGGCCTGGGCTGGTTTCGCATTTGCGAACCAACCTTCGCATTTGCGAGTTCGCAGGCCTGTTTATACTAGATTTTTCCTAAGTTAAAAATGCACTCGACGCCTATCCAAAACTCACCCGAGCCCTCGGGGCTCCAAACCAAATATAGTCACAACCTTAAATACATCCTACGGACTTATCTGCACGATCAAATCGCCGAAATAACATCATATACATCGAATTAAACCTCAAAATTCATAATTTCCTCCAAGTTTTCTGAAAACATCAAATTTCCATTTTAAGTCCGAAACACGTCATACGACGTCCGATTTCAACCAAACTTTACAGAAAGCGCTTAAACCATATATAAGACTTGTACCGGGCGCCGGAACCAAAATACGAGCCCGATACCACAGTCTTTTAATCAAATTTCATTTTCTTTTTCCTTAATCATTTCAAGAAAACAATTTCACACAAAAATTCATTTCTCGGGCTTGGGACCTCGGAATTCGATTCCGGGCATACGCCCAAGTCTCATATTTTTCTACGGACCTTCGAGACCGTCAAATCACGGATCCGGGTCCGTTTGCCTAAAATGTTGACCGAAGTCAAATTTAATCAATTTAACATCAAAATTTAGCATTTTTCTCACAGAATTCATATTTAAGCTTTCCGACTACGAGCCCGGAATGCGCACGCAAATCGAGGCAACCCTAAATGAGGTTTTCAAGGCCTCGAAAGCACAGAATGGGCAAGAAAACAGGTGATGACCCCTTTGGGTCGTCACAGTTGCGTTGTTGTGGAGTTGAAATTATTAAAATCCTCTCCCTTTTGTTAGTCACTAAAATTGGAATTCACGATTGCTTTCATGATTAAACTATTATTAGGTGTTATTTGATTCGCCAATGATCAGTTAAAAATGATTCCCTAGTTCATGCAGTAGGGATTCAATGCTGGGTCTTGACTCAACAACTTCAAGACTCCGCATTTGGGCCCATTTTGAGGCCCGGCTCTGAAGGTCCCTTTGAATCAGAGACGGGCCATCTCTTTGTTTGGGCCACCAATCCTTTGTGGTTGCTCAAGTTTTTCTTTTACAATGCATTAGTTTCCCTTATACAAGCCACCCTAGCTAGCTTAGATAGAACCTTTATACATTTAGTATTAATTGATCAGGCTATAAACTAGTTGAGGTGAGCCATATTCAATAACATAACAATTTATGGCCCTCGAGAGTTAATTTAGAAACCTGGTTAGAATAATTCAAGGTGCGCCATGCCAAGCAAAATGATAATTGCATGGCCCTCACTCACGTAATTTTGAAAATCCTAGAATCCGAGGTATGCCATTTAGCAAATCTCCATGGCCCTCGCAAAGCTAAAAACGCGTAGTTGTTTTAGGCGCGTATTTTAATAAATGACTTTCCTAAACTCGGGTGTGCATTTCATGTGACCCAAATCCAAATCCTTATAACCTTGAATAAAATGTGTTTCGGATTACGGGTGCATTTCATGTGACGTGATCCAAAGACATATTTTAGACGATGTTAAATTTTCTTTAAAAAATGAATAAAAGCGGTTAAAAATAAAAATGCAAATAGGTTTAAAATTGTTACTAAAATCAGATAATTATGCCAATAATAGCAGTTGAGCGACCGTGCTAGAACCACGGAACTCGGGAGTGCCTAACACCTTCTCCCGGGTTAACAAAATTCCTTACCCGGATTTCTGATTCGCGGACTGTAATACAGAGTCAACCCTTTCCTCGATGCGGGATTTGAACCGGTGACTTGGGACACCATAAATCTCCCAAGTGGCGACTCTGAATCTTTTTAAATAATAAATCCCGTGTCGATTGTCCTTTAATTGGAAAAACTCCCTTTATTATGCCCCTTCCCGGGGGTGTAAGTAAAAAAGGAGGTGTGACAGCTCTGGGGACTCTGCTGGGGACAAGAACCCAGAACTGCGGTTCAGGGTTCAAGAATTCGAGCTTAGATAAATTGTTATGTTTGGCTTTATCTGATTTTGTTACGTGTTTGGGCCTAATGTGCTAAGTGTTGCTTTTACCGCATTGATATTCTGTGAACTGTATATAAATTGTTACGAAACCCTTCTTCTCTCTGAGTCTTCTAAATCATGAAGGAGTGTGCACTTCGTGTGACTTCTTTTCTGTTAGAGTCATATCCCAAATTTTAGAACGAGGTTCGGATAAATTGCAAAGCCGGCGAAGCTTCTGTATTCCCGGACGCTGCCCCCCCCCCTCCCTCGGCTCGAGTTGTTCGCTCGGGTAAGCCAGGTCTAGAACAATAAACCCAGGTTTTAAACCTAGAATAACTCAGCCTCATGCCGGATCCCTAGTAGGAACGTTTGTTTGCATCATGTGCATTTGACTTAGGGGACTCAACACAGGGGTTGGGTCCGTCTACGACAGGTGTACCCAGAATCAAAGACCATCCTGATGCATGTTTTATGTGCTACTTGTGCATTTATTTGCTTCGGGTTTGCATGCTGATCGGCTTTTGAATGACGGGAGAAAGTTGGAAGAAGAAAATAGCGGTGTAAGGGTTAAGTGAGTTAATCACCTGTTTTGAAAGGAAAAAAAAACCCAATGTCCAAATGGTACTGAAACTCTGCCGTGTTTTTGAGAAAAATGAAAAAAAAAGAAGAAAAAGGTTTTGTTTTTTCAAAAATAGTTGGTTTTGTTTTATTTGCCCGAACTACGCCAGTTTAATTCTCACAGGGTGTGAGATACTAGGCAACCCCCATCGTGTCCAACTTCTCTTTTTGCAAAAATAGCCCAAAAGAACAAAATAATTTATTATGCATAAGCAAGGTGATGCCATTCTTGTCAAGAATAGCCGAATGTCCCTCAAAAGGGCGCCGGAAGGCTATTTTTGCAAGAACAGCCACCTTCAGTCATTTTTCAAGATTTTGGCCAATTAGCCGACACAGCCTTAAAATCTTCGTTCTCGAAGTGCTGAAAGGCCGTATTGGCAAAGCCGGATATTTTTGTGAAAATTTTGAAAAAATTGTCACTTTTCTGGAGTCAAAATGAGTCGTAGTTTTGTTTTAATTAAAATGACCTTAATAAATGTGCAGGATAAGCACAAATCAAAATGAACCTTTTTCAGTCCGTGAAGAGATCCCTTTGGAGCTACACATGTGGTGGCATGATTTTGGGGACGACAGCAGGAAAGTTGTGACAAAAGCGTTGGGTGGTCTTATTGGGCTCTTGAAGGTTAAGCCGAGAAAGGACATAATTGAGGCCTTGATACCATTTTGGGACCTGGCACATAATGTATTCCATTTTGCTGATTTCGAGCTAACTCCTACACTGGAAGAGATAGCAAGATACGCCGGTTCCGAGGGGAATCTCAGAACTCGATACCCGGTGGCACCTAGAACAGTAAGCCCTCACAAAATTTTGGACTTGTTAAGCATCAGTCGGGACATCCGAGATGGAAACTTGGCCAAAGGATTCTGTACCTTCTATTTTTTATACCAACATTACGGGAATCCCCGTGGCTTCGAGACGCCAGATACCGGTCTTACTCACGCGGGAAACCAAGTCAAGTGGGAAGCTCGGAGAGGATTAGCTTTCATAATGGCGTTCCTGGATATTTTGATTTGCCCCAAAAAAGACGGGAATATAGAGTTGGGACTTGTGGGGATAGCTGACTTTATGATGAAAAAGGCAAATGGGACCATAGTGCCGATGATCTTGGCAGAAATTTACCGAGCTCTGACCCTTTGCCGAGTAGGGGGAAAGTTCTTTGAAGGGTGCAATATGCTGTTACAACTATGGATGGTGGAACATCTTTGCCACCGTCCCGGATACTTGAATTGTGGCATGACTGGCCTCGAGTGCATTGAAAAACATGATAAACGGGTAGAGGGTTATGAGTTCCCAGAGGGTACAAAAGCATGGCATGCTCACTTGAGATCCTTGACTGCAGACAAAATCGAATGGACGTTCGGGTGGCTCTCGATCGGTGAAGTAATCTATATGTCGGCTGAGGAGTGTTTTCTGCTGTTGATGGGTCTTCGGAGTATCCAGCCTTATGCTCCGCACAGAGTCCTACGTCAGTTAGGCCGATATTAGACCATCCCACACGATGAAGGTTTGAGTCGACAGGTCATTGAGTTAGAACCCTAAGCTGCCTTCCCAGAAGAAAAAGTGCGTCGGATTTGGCATCAGTGTAGATTCTTAGAGTCTAAAACTCAAGTACGAGATATATCTAGAGGAGAGTTGAGCCTGGCTACCTGCTTGGTATGGTAAAAGATCCCGAGTTCATCAAGAACCCGAAAGGCCCGCAAAAAGACCCCATGTCCAATAGTTCACCGACGGAGCACTGGTGCAATGGGACTGGCTGACCAAAGAAAACGAGTACAGAGCCAACATAAGCAGGTTAGAAAAGCAAGTCATGGACCTCCAGTTTGAAAATGGATTGCAAGCCGCCGCAGATATGGGAGAAAAGAAAAAACTAACTCAGGAAAATGAAGCGCTCAAAGCTCAGATTTGGAAGATGAAAATAGCTGCTAGAAACCCGAAAAGAAGCCGGGCGGATGAAAAACTCATAAGTGATCTGAAAAAGAAAGCCCTCGAGTGTCAAGAGGACCTGGAAAAGTTTGAGGACAGTCTAGCAAAAATCCGGGCACAATGGGCAAAGAAGGCAGGAGAGCGGGCACGGTTTGTGCAGCAAATGAAAAGGAACTATGAAGGGACAATCACCAGCCTAAAGAGAAAAGTAAGTACTCTTGAGAATGAGGCGGCCAAGAAGGCCATGGATTTTAAAGCTGATAGGGAACACTGCTATGAACTGATGGCTCAGATGGAGGAAGAAGTGCAATAGTTGCAAAACCAACATCTCCACGACACTCAGGTGTTAGAAGCCCGAAATCAGCAGGTCGGGCGTTTGCTTCAGGAAAAGGGTAGGATCCGAGAGAGGGTCAGGGCTATTGCCGATTACATTATTGTGAAGTGTCAAGCATGTGAGGATATGGCACGCACCACTTTCTTTGTGGCAGTGATGACATTTGTCCGGCAAATAATGAGTGATTTGGAAAGGCTTCAAGGGGATCTTGCATATTGGCCAGCGGTGAGGCCGAATGATGCCCCGCGGGCCCCAGGAGCATTAGAGGCATTAATATATTCGTGATCTTTGCTTGAGTCCATACTTTCTTGCTGTTAAAGTTTGTCAGTTTCTTTTGAGTCTGTTAGTCCTTTTGAATCTGTATTTTCATCTTTTCAAAGTCTGTTAGTTTCTTTTGAGTCTGTCAGTTTTGTAATCAAAGCATTTGTTTTTCATGAAAAATTGAAAGTCCCAAAATATTTTTATTATTTATTTTTCATTTATATCCCCAAGAATTACGCTTGGTCTGATTCATGCGGGGTCATGATACGTAGGCAATCTCCATAGGATTCGACCGTAACCTAATACAAAAAGGGGGAAAAGGAAAAGAGAGGAAAAACAAGAGAGGAAAGGAAAAGAAAATAGAGAAAATAAGAAACTGAGAGAAGGAAACAATGGCAAAACAAGAGGGAGAAATGAGAGAATAAAAACAAAGAGAAAGCGAAGGCAAGAATGAAAGAGAGGAAAAAACAGAAAAAGAAAAAAGAAGTTGAAAATTGAAATAAGGGAAGCTGGGATGTCGCAAGCAACCGATCAAATGCATAATAGAAACGGTTAACTGCTTAGGTGCATCCATTCCCCAAATGTGCGGTTGCCTATCTATTAAGCTTTAATCACTAATAAGTTTGTTGTTGACAATTCAGTACAGAAAGGTGGTTGGTTTGTGGTTCCCGAAATAGTAACTCCTCTCCACAACATAAAGTCAAAAGGCAATGGCAGACAACAACAGAACTGAGTTGGTTGATATCGGGGCCCGAAAGCAGTTGGTGGAACAGGACAATGGGTTAGTGGAAGAGGTAAAGATGTTGAGACAACACATGGCGGACATGTACCGGGATTGGATGACCGGGAAGGCACCACCCCCTCCACCACTTACCTTCCTAGATGCTACCCTTACCCAAACTCCGGTCATAGTGCCAGATGATTCCCCATACTCTCCAGATTTTCCCGCTTATCACAGCTTTCCTAACCACCCTAGTAGCTCCATCACTCATCCTCCAATTACCCCTCCCCAAAACTTCCCTCCGTCATATCCACTATCCCCAACAATGAAAACCCACTCAAAGCCCATGATGCCCAACATTACCCCAAAAAGGTTGCCCACAAGGTTCTCGATTCATACAAGAAGAGCTCCCGGGATGAGCTTCATACTGAAAATGAAAAAGTCACAGGAAGAGAAGGGCGAGATGGGATACCAAGGAGGCTGAAAGGCATAGAACAGTCCATAAGGAAAAAGCGAGGAACGGGAGACCAGGGTAGCATGGCTTGCAAAGAACTGTCTGTGTCCCCTGACGTTCGCCTGCCCGCGGGGTTCAAGATGCCAAAATTTAACTTGTATGATGGGTGTGGAGATCCGGTAGCCCACCTGAGGGTCTATTGCAGTGAAATGAGAAATGTTGGGGAGGAAGATGACTTGTTATTGGCATATTTCAATAAAAGCTTGACTGGGGCAGCATTGGAATTGCATAATCATCAAGATGTTGGTAAGTGGCCTACATTGGGTGACATGGCTCAAGATTTTGTTCGATACTCTCAATACAAATCAGGCGTTACCCCAGACCGCTCCTCCCTATCTAAAATGGAAAAGAAGCCGGAGGAAAGATTTAGGGAGTTTGGGCTCAGATGGAGGGAGCAAGCTGCTCGAGTCAGTACCCCGATTGGTGAAGAAGAAATGGTTGAGCTTTTCCTACAAGCCCAGGGGCCCACTTACTTCAGTCATTTGATCCCGGCCTTGGGAAAGCCTTTCAATGATGTGTTAAAAATGGGGGGAGATGGTAGAAGAGGAAATCAAGTCAGGCAAAATCATGAGTTGTTCGGCATTGAAAGATACTACGAAAGACATTCAGAACATCCCAGTAAGTTTGGGTGGAAGAAAGAGAAATAGAAAAGATGATCCGCTAGGCATTCCTGCTTAACACTTTCAGCCTCGACATCGTCCCCGTGGATATCCTTGTGCACCAGATGACCCTCCCTGATGCCACTTCTCTCCACAGAACTCCCAAAGTCGCACATCACTTTCCCAGTACTCAGCTCCACAAAATGCCTATCCACTCCCACGAGCCTACCGAAAACCCCTTGGATCAGGTTTCCGGCCCAATCAAGCATTTAAGAACGAGAGGTTACGGAAGAAGAAAAACTTCACTCCGTTGGGAGAGTCATATGCCAGTCTGTTCCAGAGGCTAAGGAAATTGGACATGTTGAAGCCGATTCAGATAAAAATGCCAAACCATCTTCCAAAGAAGTGTGATTTTCTCAAAGGTGCGCATATTGCTCAGATGCCCTGGGGCATGACATATAGAAGTGTTGGAATCTGAAGAAGGCGATTCAGAAGCTTATTGATGCAGGCGACATTGTCGTGAAAAGTCCAGATGCAGCAGACACTAGCCAAAGTCCATCACCTGTGCATAATGAGATGCATATGGTGGGTATGATTTTTTTTTAAAAGGAATGTGAGAATTCTTCTGGGAGCCTTGGAGGCCCACGTGCTACCAAGCTTTCAGCGCTATCAGAGGTTGATCATAAGAACGAGCAAGCAAAGGGAACCCAAAAGCAATTTATTAAGAACAATGTGATGAAGACATGTGAAGTTCCTAGTATTGTTGATGTAGAATTCAGTGGCTAAGATACCGTGCTTGGTAATTGGAAAGTCGCTCCATTGCTTGGTCAGTTGGAGAGGAGCTTTGGTGGCTTAGTTTGTTGTCATTTCTGTTGTCCGGGTTATTTCAGGGTTGTAATCCGGACATTGTCTTGTGACTCAAACCCTTCTATCCTTTTAGTTTGTCTAGTTCTTTTAGACGTAGTATCTCATTTAGTGTTATCTCGGTTTGTTTTAGGGTTGTACCCCAGGTTATTTTGCTTGTTTTGCTGTTCAAACCCTTTCACCGTCTATTTAATGCTATTCTCTGCTTTCTGCTATTTTTGGACATTTTTTTATTTCTCTTCTCCTTTTACAGTTCTTTTCATGCTGGTTCTAGTGACATGACATACACGCATATTTCTCAGCCAGATCTTAAAAAGTCAGTTTAGTCAGGAAGCAATGAAACAATTTTTGAAGATAATAGGGACGTTTGAGGGAAATAAGTAAGGGCATTTTGAGATCACTACAAGCCCGAATTGTGTGAAACTGGGGCAGATGGAACGTAAGGAAACCCTACTGAAATGCATCATGCCGCATCAGATTGAAGTTAAAGGAAAGTTTGCCCAAATTGGAGGGGTCCGTTCATGGTAATGAGAGTGAGGGTGTTGCCCACTGGTGCTTTGTAGTTGACAGATGTAGAAGGCGAATGTGTGGATATGGTTATCAAGTCTAGTACAACCAAAAGATGTTATAAATGTGTTCCTCGATTTGTTTAATTGTGTTATTGTACTTGGCATGTTTTGGATATTGGAATGACGAAGGCATTTTGTTCTGCTATCTAAACACTTTATCCTTTGTTACCCCTTTGAGCCTTATTTGTTTTTTTTCATACCCCTCTTTCGGAATCAGTAGCAAAGATCAGAAACACAAGCGTGAAAGATAAGTAAGGGAAAAGGAGAAAGAAAAAGAATGAAAAGAGAGAGAAGAAAAAGGAAGAAGAAAGAAGAAAAAAAGAAGAGAAAAAAAAAGAAAAAGAAAAAAGAAAAAAAAACAACAAAACAACAAAAAGAGAAAAAGGAAGAAAGAAAAGAAAAGAAGAGAAAGAGGAAGAAAAGAAAAGAAGAATCACAACAACAAAGTAATTTCTATGACATGAACTATGTTTGACCTGATTCCTTTTATGGATACGTAGGCAGCCTCACGGTTCGGTCCCATCAAAATAAGTTCCAAAAGTCCCCAAGCAAGAAACTGGGGCAGATGTTGTGGTTGTTGTAAGAAATCTGATTCCAAAGTTGTAATTTTTGAACCCATCTGAATTGTTTTGAGCCTTTTGATACCCTTTCTTTCTAACCCTATCCAAAAGCCCACATTACGGTCCAAAGAAAGACCTTC